CAGCAGAAACAACCTCACGTCCTTGCGGATGAAAACCATGGAACACAATTTGTCCCGCTAGGGAAATCACTGCTTTGAGTGCATGAGTAATCCACTGACTTCATAGGGATAGATCCGGATGGATTTTTTCAGCGTGCTCTCAGGGGCTGCAGCACATCATGGGTGAGTGCCAGGATGCTCGACTGTTCTGCTGCTGACCCGTGCTGCCCATTGGGGTCTGGGCTGTCCCATGGGCACGCCTGGCCCCTACTGTGCACCCCAGGGTTTCAGCACTGACAAGCAGTCTGTTTCTAGCATTAGTATCCCCAGGAACACGCTCAGAAACTACAGATGAGGTCATTCCCCAGAGCCTGCTTAGGTATTTGGGGCCCTTCACGTGGAGAGGAGCTAAAATCTTACACTCAATTAATGGTTTTTAAAGTGAAACTAGAACTCTTTTTATAGTGCATTTGGAGTCTGTTAATCTGGCACTGGTAAATGATTAACAATTTGTTTATCCTTATCATTAGAGATGGCGCTAACGTATATTCTTCACTCTTACCTACTTCAAAAGAGGCATTGGGATTAACAGCCACCTACGCAGAATCAGAATTGAACATTATTCATGAATTAATATTGTTTATTCACATTAACAAATCTGAGGCTGATTTCATCTCTGTGCTGTCCTTTCAGGCAATCCATCAAACAAAATAAGCAACGGCCCACCCCAAAGGCCCTGAGTTTGACTTTATGCTCTAAACTTCCAAACTTCAGCCCAGGAGATGAGAGCACACACAGCTCAATCAGTCTGTGCTTAGCACACGAAGTCCAGTGCAGAAAGACTGAGGGTGTGAGCTTTGTCCTGCTTTGGAGATAACAAAGAAGTGGAAGCCTGGCCTGGAACCCATCACAGAAGCCCCTTGCAGAGCTCACCACGAAAGACCCAATACCTGGGCTGAGCCCTCCACCATTGCCCCCATCACCCCTTGGAGATGGCTTCTGAGCACAGCTGACATCCCAACACAGCACTGCTAACTCCTGTTCAACCAACAGACACCTGCATGAGTGCGGATGGTGCTGAGGTGATAAAGCTGGGTTTCTGGATGCGGAAGGATGTGCTCTGCTCCACGTGCATCATCAGAATCACAGATCAGAGATGTCTTTTGAAAAATGTGCTCTGAGCATGATTTTTTTCTTCTAAAAATAACTTGTATTTTGCTCATATTAAAAGAGCAGGATGTTCTTTCCTGTCCTACAGCGATAAGGAGGAAATGAGAACTACGGGGTTTTTTTTAATATGATATGAGCTACTATTCTTCTGGACTAGTGCTGTGAATCTTGATTTTTTTTTCCCCCCAGCACTAGCATTTTATTCCCTATGGATTTCATTTTGCTTCATTCATGCCAATGTTTTCCCAGTGAAGCTCTCTTTGATTTCAGCAGGATCCTTCCATATTTATACCTCTCAGATCCCAAGGCAGTATGGATTGAAGGGAGGCAACCAACTGATGGCAGTGAACGCTGAATGCCTCAAAGCCCCTTTCCAATGAGACAAAGTCAGTGGAGAGACACAAGTGGGGGGCAGAGAGCATTCCTTCCTGTCCTCTGCATTTAAAGGAAAGAGGCTGCGCTTTGGAGGAAATGTGAATGTAATGAACTGGACATTTGAGTCCCATTGTGCTGAGGTCTGACAGGAAACACTTGGGGTTCGATTCAGGAAAAAGTACAGAGTATTCCTTTATAATACTCTCATAACCCCAGCTATCCCGCAGCATTTCACTGCCCGTCTGTCTTTAATGCATATATTCTCACAGCCCTCTCCAGAAGACCAGAAGGAAACCTGGCCACTGGGGAGTGGGGGAGGCATGGGAAGAAACTGTAGCGATGTTTCCAGCCAACAGTCATCCTAAGTGACAGCATAAAGGCAGCAGCTCTCTCCCTTTCCAACCAAAGGGACCCCAGCACAGCTGCCCTTGCTGCTGTGGCCACCACAGTTTGTTATGGGAGGAGGGATGCTGCCCCAACTTCAGGAGCTACAGACTGCCTCGAGTCTTATGAAAGACCCGAACTGCAAAGACATGAAAGAAACCCCAAACTCCATGCAACCCAGAAGAGATGGATTGAGGGCATAATGCCCTTGATTGAAAAAGGAGGCACCCAGGAAATCTTGGGGTATATGTGTATATATATATTTAACTAGAGCTAAAGTAATTTGGCATGCACATCCCCTGAGCAGCTTCCTAAAGCACAGCTGCAGGAGGAATTATCTAGCTCTTAGCTGAAGGAACTCCTTAAAAATGAAAAAAAGAAAAAAAAAAAAAAAAAAGATGTAGGCCATTAAAGTGCTAATAAAAAATGTTGATGAATCTCGGAGCAGTGCTCTGATTATCTCTCTGTGGGGAATGAAGAACTCATTAACATGAGCTCCGTGCCACTCCTTCCTCCTTTCTCAGAGTTTGGCATAAAGCAAGGAAACAAATGTTTGTGGTTTGGCCAAGTTTCTAATGAGTAGCTCTGCAAGGTCGCCTGATTAGACACATGGCTTTTCAGAGGGCGAGAAGGCTGCGGCACCGTGCAAGTGGCAAAGCATGTCTGTGGGATCAGGCACCCAAAAAGGAAGCACTTTATCTGCTGTGTATAATCTGTTGGTTGCTTTTTGGAGGATTATTTAGCTGAATGCAAGAAAAGTGCAGAAAGAGAGGGTTTTGTTGACACTGCAAACAGGGAGCAACAACACGAAGCCCGGAAGGAGTAACAGAGCACTAGTTCTTCCTAAAGACCCATGCTCCAAAAATGCAATGCTACTGTAGCTTACTATGGGTTTGGTTTCACCCATTAAGGTCTGACCCAGCAGATTCAACCACCCTATCTAGCCGTTGCCTTGCCCTGCAGCATGACGCTTCCTGTAGCAGCACCCAGGGCTCGTGGCAGCAATCCCTGCACTGCCTCACCCTGCAGCCTGCAGCACAGCCCTGCCTGATGGCATGGCCAAGCACTGCTCCAAGGAGGGAAATGAGCCTCCAGAACTAATGGGAAAAGGCTCTCCCATGCAGCAAGGTTTCTCCTTGGTCCTGTTTGTGAGCCAATTATGGACTGAATCATAAGGATTTGTCATCTCCATAAGCTTTTCAGGTCTAAATAGCGAAGCTCTTCCACATGCCCAGGAGAAGAAAACTTGTCCTACAATAAACACATAAGGATGCATCTTTACGTGTCTGAAAGCATTCTGCTGGGATAAGCACCGGTGCCTCTGAAATTCAAATTCCCAGGTGTGTGATCAATGTCATGCAGCACCTTAGCATTCAAACCAACCTCCCCAGACACCAGGTCTGTCCCCTGCTTCCACATCCTGTAATGACTTAATAAACTTCATCTCAAAAGCAGTGAGATTTTTCCATTCCCAGTACCCCCCCCTGGATGTTGCCAACTCTCCTGTGATTTCCAGCTGAAATGTGTCAGCAGCCAGTTCCTGTTCCATTGTCCCCATGCCAGGGCTGTCCCCTGGCTGTGTGAGTGCCGAGAGCAGAGAGCAGGAGCCAAGGGAATTCCTGACCCAAGGACTTCCCTGTACTACTGCCTTCACTTTCCAAACCACAGCTAAATGGTGGTATTTCTTGGCTTTTTTCAGGTTGAAAGTTTATCAAAACATGACACAGCTGTATTTTTTTTTCCTAAAAGGAAGTAAAAAAGTGGGGGTAAACATGCAAGGAACAGCCCTGCTATTTCCATGAGTGCTACACTGAATAAATATGAATGAGGAAGCCAACTGCTCCATCCTTCCCAGTGCACTCCACATGCAGGTATAGGTGTGCCAGCACACTTGCTCCTCCTGTACCCAAGCGCTTTCATTCCCTACAAGAACCAGATAGTTAGAGATCCTGCATTAAATAAAGGGACGAGCTGGAACAGCGTCTGTTATCACTGGCCAGCACCTACAGGCTCCAAACGTACTGCTCCAGCCAGGTGGGGCTGTCTGAGCGTTGGCTATCAATTTGCAAATTAAAGCACCCCAGGCTGCACAGTGCGGTGCCTGCAGACATTTTGTCTCCAAGGCCCTCTGCAGAGGGACCAGCATCTCAGGGATTTGGTGCATCATCATCATCAGAAATGACCCTCAGGAGCATTTTGAATCATAGAATCACTAACGTTGGAATAGGTCACTAAGATCACCAAGTCCAACCCCAACCCACCCCCCCATGCCCACTAACCACGTCCCTCAGTGCCACATCTCCATGACTGAACACCTCTGGGGATGGTGACTGCCCCCCTCCCTGGGCAGCCTGTGCCAGTGCCTCACCACTCTTTTGGAGAAGAAACTTTTCCCAATATCCAACCTGGGCCTCCCTGGCACAATTCAAGGCCGTTTTTCCCTCTCATGCTATCACTACAGTCAGCAGATCCCTGAGTTATGAGGTTTGCCCTGAAACATCTCAAAGCTGAGCTATGTGAGCAGCCTTGCATCTGGTCACAAATGGAACCATTCAAGCATGTTTTAGGCAACTTTTGAGCCTTAAAATTAAAAATATCATCACAGACTTTTCTTTTTGCATGTAAAGCCGTGTATCACCCAGTGGTTCTGTACATCCCGACGGCTTCCCAGCACCGCCCGGATGCTGCCCAGCAAACCTCGAACCCGAGAAACCACCGACTTCGGGTGCAGAGCAGCACGGAGCCGATAGCAGCCGCAGAGCGCTGCGACCATAGAATGCTTAGCGGCCGCACAAAACGGAGGACAGAACTGGCCGAAAGCAGCCTCTTTGCATTTTCTGCACACATACACGCACATATACGCACACACCCTGCCTTCCCCTGTGCCTCCCCCGTGCAGCTCGCTCCACCGCGAGTTCCACTCTGCTCCATCGGCAGTGAGGGTGGCGGGAGCAACAATGGAGGGCGGCGGGCGGGGCCTCGGCAGAACCACCTCCTCCTCCTCCTCTTCTTTTTTTTTTTTTTTTTTTCTTTTTCCTTCCTCCGCTCCTCTCTCTCCCCCCCCCCTCCTCCTCCTCGCGGCCCCTCAAACTTGGCCGAGCGGCGCTGGGGGCAGGGCACAACCTCGGGCAGATAGCAGCGGAGAGGAGGAGCCCAGGTGTCCCTTCCTGCCACATCGTTCCGCCCCCTCCTGCCCCCGGCCCTCCCCTCCGCCCCTCCCCGCCCGCCGCGGTGCTGGGCTCCCGCGCCCGCCGCCGCCGGAGGGATGGAGTGAGGCGCGGGGCTCCGAGGTAACGCCGCGCGGCTCCGCTGCCTTTCGGGGTGGGGAGGGGGAAGCGGGAGCCGAGCCGCCGGGGTGGGGGCTCGGTAAAATGTCTCCCGGCTCCGTAGAGAGTGGGGGGAGGCGGTGCGGGGCTGGGCTGCCCCAAGATGTCCGCTCCCCCCGCCGCTTCTGGGGGGTGAAGTTTGCGGCCGCGCGGCCCGGCGTGCTGAGCGTGGAAGTGTGTGTGCATGCGTGTGTGTGCATGTGCGTGTGTGCGTGTGTGCGCGCATCACGGCTGCGGGCGCACAAAGGCTGCGGGGCTGCGTTGCGCGCACCGGGAGCACCGCGCGGCCCGGCTCTGCCCCCGTTAACCCGGTGCGAGCGGTGACCCAGCCGTCGTAACGCCGCGGAGCCGCCCGGCTCGATCGCTGCGGAGTTGCGCCGTTTCGCGTCCGCGCTGCCCGAAGCTGCACGCCGGGAGCCGGGGGTCGCTCCGTCCTTCCCCGGGTGCGGCGCCCCGCGGTCGGGGGGGGCTCTGCGGGGCCGCGCTGCCGCCCGCGGGCTCTCCGGGTGCTGCAATGCTGTCTTTTTGCCTCAGCGCCGATCTGAAATAGCGCGCGCCTCTGTGCAGAAATCGCTAATGCAGGGCGGTGTTGGAAGCGATTGTAACGATGGAGCGGCTTGGCGCTATCACGAGACGCGGCAGCCCGTGCGAGCCTCAGAAAACGGCTTATAATTTATATCTTCCACGAGGGCTGGGCTTTAAAAATGTTCCGTCGCCTTCAGCTCCACCTTTGCCGTTTGCCAGGGATCCCATTCCCAAGCACACGCAGTCTTGGCACGGCACTGCTCACCGGCAGCACCCCTACAGCTGTGGCCAACATCTGGTCCTGCCCTTCTCCACACTCTGCTCCCGGAGCCGTGCAGCTCTGGGAACTGCTCCGTGTCCTGCAGTGATGTATGTCTGTGTACATTAGGAGAAAATTGGCTATTTATGCCTTTAACTTCAGTGAGGAGGGTTGCAAGGGGCCTTGGGGAGTTTGCTCCCAATTTTTGAGTTTGCAGACTGTTTTCCTCTCTTATATAAAAACTCAGAGTGAGTTTGATAAGCGTGTCTATGAATTGGAGCTCATCTCAGTACAGCAGATTGGCAGCATCTGCTTACCAGCCGGCGTGACTGCAGTGTGGCTCTGCCCAGCATCTGTACGTTACAGGTAGGTTGAGCCCCAGTCTGCTGCTTTGTGTCCACCAGCACCCCCAGAGCACCCAGAGGGTGGTGATGTGGTCCTAAGCAGATGGAAGAGTGTAGGGTTGTGCCTCAGCTGGGTGGAGCTCATCGGTGGGGGAGCTGACTTATAAAATCAATAGGTAAAATAAATAGCAAAAAATGATTGCCAGGAGGTTATAAAAGACTCCATGTTTGGATTTGCTGGATGACTCTCGGGCAGGATAAGCTGTTGCTGCAATCGGCTTTGGTACCAGAGGAGTGAAGTTGATAAATGTGACCCCAGACTCTAGGCTTTGCTGAGATTGAGGAAATTTTGGGTTGTACAGGTGCCTCCTGTGCTGCGCGTGGTGTATGGGGAGGGCACAGGGTCCAGGAGCTGCCCTATTCCACTGTAGGGTTGGTGGGTGTGTGAGTTCCTGAACTCTATGCACGCTCACTACTAGTGGATACCAGTTTTAGCTTTACAAGCCTTTGCATTCACAGGTTCTCAGGATTTCATGTTATTTTTTTAGAATAAGACATTGCTGATATTTAGTTTTCACTGGGGGAATGTGAAACCTGAAGCGGGGAGGGACTGAGAGTTGTTCGTGTCAGGATCAGTGCATGCACTGATGGCTGAGCAGTCCTTCAATCTTGGCCAATAGATGGAGTGCTGCTGTGCTCCAGGATCTCTGGGGGTGTAGTGATGCCTTGGCTAAGTCACTTATTATCCTCCGTCTTGCCTGAGGATTGACACAGCTGGTCTTTTATTTAAGAAAAGGATGATTTGGGGGATGATGCATCTGCAGTGCTTGTGGAGTGGCTGGGATCCAAAGGGGACAGGCAAGTGGTGTGGGCTCACTGATGGGGTGGGATGGAATGGGCTGGATCCTGACGCTTGGGCTCATTTCCACTGCATGCGGTGCTGGAGGTGAGTGTGGGGCTGCCCTGTTACAATCCTTGCTGCAGGTGAGACCTCTCAGCCTGCTTCATAGGGATGGTATTGGAATTAGAGTGCTTAAAAAAAATTGGCATAGGGAACAACCTGTGTAACCTTGAGCTGATACACAGTTGCCTTTGCTAGCTTAAACAGGAGAAAAAAAAAACTGTTTCTTTAAGAAATATCCTGTAACTGTAGTGGCCATAGCAACGTCAAGCTGTTATTTCTCTTGTAAGTCAATTTTGCAATCTCTTAGTGTTGGTGTTTCAAAAATGGAGTAGGTCGGTATTTTGGTATTGACTCAGAAGATTGCAATCTATATTATTTGGTGGCATTGCTTGCTGTTACATCACAGGCTTCTCTGCAAGCTCTGCTCTGAAATACTGGTTGTCGTACTGGGAGAAGTGCTGGTGTTGCTTTTGGTGGTGGTTCTCAGCAGGCAGTGTCTTCATGCAGCATTTTCTTGGTACGTGAAGATAGATTAAAAGCTTCTTGACTCGTAGGTAACATGTTCGTGTTCAAATTAGAGGCAAGCAGATCAATTTCCTATATTAACTTTGATGCCACTGGCATGGGGAAGCTTTTGTGATGCACAGTGATTTCTGTTACCTTGCACAAATGAGAATTCGAGATCTTTCTTTTGAAGTCATCACAAATGTAGTTGTATGGTGGATAGTTCTTGATTACTATTAAGACAAACCAATTTTGAATTGCATCAATGAATTTGGTCAGGTATGAAAGTGTCTTCAATTATAGCTTTCTTTTAACCTAGACTACAGTGGGGAGGTTTGTCACTTAAAATAATCAGTAAACTGGAAAATATTTTGTGAAGAAGTTGGGATTTCCTTGGGATTCTTTAAAAATCTTCTGAAAGAAGACCCCTTTATTTGAGGGTGATGGTGTTTTCCTTAGTTTGGTTTTACCCTGCATCTTCACAGTTCAGTCTATGTGATGTAGGTAACTGCTTTGCCAAGACTGGGAACATATAAGATTCGTTATTATATTTAATATCATTCAAATGGTAGTAATGTAAACTCTGCTTTACAGGGATGCAATCAGCTGGAATGAAGAGCAAATTAAGGCACCATTATAGTAGCCTCATTCACTGTTCTAGTCTTCACCTTGATCTTGGCTGGGAAGAAACTCTTCTTGCCTTGTATTGTTTAACATGTTAAATTCCTAGGGACTTCAGAGCAGCAGGGAGCTTCTGGGTGAGCTGGCAGGCTGAGGGCAAGGTCAGTAAATGGGCAAGCAGCTCCATAGCTCCTCACTTTGCCTTCGCTTGACCTGCAGCAGTGAGCAGTTGGTGGAATGCCCTTCCCCTTTTGCAGTCAGCATGCACTGAAGGTACTTCTCCAGCTCAGGTATTGCATTTAAGCAGCTGTCAGGTTGCAGCTTGCTGCTTCTCTTCCTGTCACTGTGCTGCCTTGCATGAGTCCTCAGCACAGCGTGGTGGTTGTGGCTGGAGCTTCAGCTGAATGCTGGACTGTGTTTGCCAAAGTGACAGGGTTCTGTTGAATTACTATGAAAACTTGTGTTTGTTATCTTAATCTACAAGTGCAATAATTCATCTTAAGGCTCTTTTTATTGTTGCGTATGCTTAATTGTGTTATCACAGAGTCATAGGATGGTTTAGGTTAGGAGGGACCTTTAGTGGTCGTCTGCTCAAGCGTGGCCATGAGGAGCAGGTTGCCTAGGAGAGGAATACATTTATTATTATTATTATAGAAAATAGGTAAAGTTACACATGTCACCTGTGGCTGTTACACTGAACGTGACATTCTTCAAAAGTCCACCAGATCTGCATCTTCGTGTGTTTGCAGGCTTGTGGTCAATGTCGGGTCTGACTGCAAAATGCATGGCACCAGCAAAGCCTTCCTGTGCTGGATGATAAATACAGGGTAAAACAGAAGGCCTTGCTTATTGGATAAAGTTTTCTTTACTTGTGCTAATGCGTTAAAAACAATGAAGACAAAATAGAACTCAAAATATTTATATTTTCTCCTCCAAACATAGACTCACTTGGGGTGAAGAAAGACTTATTTTGTCAGTTCTGGAAGCCTTGACCTAATCCTATAGAAACCATTTGGTGAGGAGGTTGACTGTGTGGCTGAAATAAACAAATTTTAGATCAATGGGAATTGCAACTTGTCTCCTGTGCAGACATGTATGCTGGAGGCTTTCACTTCCTCCAGTTCTTTTCCTGCTGCTGGGACTGGTCTCAGCTTCTGTCCCAGCGCTTCCCCCATTCCCCTGCAGATCCCAAGCAAAAGACAACCACAGGTTCAAGTCTTTGGGTGAAGTCAGTTGGCCAACCTCCTGCGTTGCTCTCCTCTAAACACGGGCTGAGTGAGGACAGCCTGCAGGCTGCCTTGGAGGCCAGGAGTTGATGCCTCAGCCTTTCAGAAAGTGCCCAGTTCAGGTGCATGCCTCGGGAATGAACAGCAGTGACTCACCCACATTTTAGTCTTTATAAATTTATAGACAAAAAACTCTATGCTTAAAGATTCATTAAGGTCACAGAGTCAAGTATTTGAAAGTTAGATAGTGCATTCCAAAGAAAATATCCTGGATTTAAACATGAAAATTAAACTATAGCATTGGAAAGCATACTCATGAGCCCTCATGTCAGGAAGAGTAGGAGTGTTCTGGCTCAGATGCTGTACATCTAGCAGATACTTAACAGAGGCAACCTTCAGCTTGGAAGAGAAAAATATGGAAAAAAATAAGCTGAAATATGAAATTGGAAATAGACTTCAGAGGTGGAAAGAGTGGATGATACCAGGTGGTGCATCTAGTTCTGTGTGGAGCTGAGCAGTGACACCCCATTGGTGACATGGTGACAACCTGTGGTTTCTCCAACACAAATGCACAGCCATTT